GTGTTCTAAACTACCAGCTTCTTTGCATACTGTGCCTCACAAGAATTCAGAGGAGCCCTAAGCATATTTGTCAGTTATTTTCAGAAGATTTCTAGGAGGAAGCTTGGTATCTTAACACTGCATGACTTTTCTTGCTGCTTTGAACACTGAGTTCACATTCACCTCAAAGCTACTCAACCTTTATCAAAAAATTCGCCCTTAGAGCAGAGAAATGTCCTTTTCAATAAAAGTGATAAAAAATACCTGAAAAACTTATAAAACCTTTAATTGATTTAGTGAAAGAATTATTATTCTGGGTTGCTTCTTTTCTTGGGTGACATTTGATTGATAAAGTTTCTCAAAGTTTAAATATATTTCTAAATATCTTTCTCATCTTTTGTTGTGTCTTCCAGTTCAACACATTTCCATTTAACTTATTATGGACAACTATATTCCTTTAAAAATATTTGTGTGAAAGCTGAGTCTCTTAGTTTCTTTGTTGTTCAGTTTCTCTGGATAGCATTTGGTCCCTGAGTCCTTACTTCTGGTTCAGCCACTCCTAACTTCATTGTTCCATTTCACTTAGGGTTTTCCCAGCTGAGGCTGATGACTGACAGTGCTGGCTCTCAGGCTCTGGGCCCCAATTACCAGCCTTACTTCGTGTAGAGCATAGGTTCTCAACCTGTGGTTCTCAACCATTTTGGGGGTCGAACGACCCTTTCACAGGGGTCGCCTAAGACCATTGGAAAACACATATATAATTACATATTGTTTTTGTGGTTAATCACTATGCTTTAATTATGTTCAATTTGTAACAATGAAATTGGGGGTCACCACAACATGAGGCACTGTATTAAAAGGTCGTGTCATTAGGAAGGTTGAGAACCACTGGTATAGAGTGTCACTTTTCACTACCCAGTGTTCAGACCTCTGGGTTTAGTTCTCCCAATCAGTTGAATCTTTTGCTTCCTCCCATTGTGTGATGGTTAATTCTTTTATCTGTACTCCTGTCCCTCTGTCTGCCCTGTACCTGTATTTGTTAATGGTGTTAGGTTCCTGCATTCTCAGCTCCTTAATGTCATTTAATCTTTAATTTATCCACATTATTCTAAATTTCCAAATCTGCTTTAAAAACAAGTATTTATATTTTCAGAACCTTTTTTTTCTATTATAAAAACAATATATGCTCATTGTAAAAAGAATGATTAAATATCCCATATGTAATTTCATCTCAAGGAAATTAACAAGGCCCTTTTTTCTAGTTTTATTTTTTACTTTAAAGAAAAATAAAAATTACAATTATATCTACCTGGAATGAAGTTTAAAAGCCACCAGAACCAAAAATACCAGTGCACTGGGCATGACACACCAAGGATTATAGATTTCTATTGTTGTAAAACATTTTGTATAATCTTGTGAACATTTTCCCAGGTCTTATTCCTTTATTAAAAAAATATTCTCTGAAACTGCATGGGTTTATTGTTTAAAAACATCTGAGGGTTTAGTATTCCTAAGTGCTCATAAAACTTTAGCCATGGAATGACAGCTTTTGTTGCCTGTGATTTCAAAGGAAAGAAAATAATATCAGACCTTGGTCCCTGAAAAGTGAAGGGAACATGTAATAACCTTTCGTATATGTGCTGCTGAAGTGAACACAGCAACCTTTGGGATATGTGTTTCGGTCAGGGTTCTCCAGAACAGAACCAATAGAAAAGTAAATAAAAAAATAAATATGTAATTTATTTATTTTTAAGAAATTGGGTTATGTAATTGAGGAGGTGGGCAAATCTTTTTTAAAACTTTATTTTTATTGTTGACATTATTACAGATGTCCCCATCCTCCCCTCTGCCCACCTCCCCCTGCCCTCGCTTCCCCTTCCTGCTGGCCATCACCACTGTTGTCTGTGTCTATGGTCTATGCATTTGTGTTGTTTGGCTAATCCCTTTACCTTCTTTCAATTTGCAGGCTGGAAGCAGGCTGAGTTTGTATGTTATAGTCTTAAGGTGAGGAAATTAATAGTCTATAACCAGACAATACAAGAAGAAGAGTCTTAGAGCTTAGGAGAAAAAGGCAAGGAAAATGCACTTAGGGGGAGCGGGTGGGGGAAGGCACAGGGTGCTCCATAGAGAGAGCAGCCTGCTGTTGAAGGCTTTTAACAGGACAAGAAGCTTGTATGTTATAGTCTTAAGGTGAGGACGATGTTTTCTTGGCATTAGCAAATACTTTAAGAACAACCAAGAACTTGGAGAAGTGCTCAAAGTCAAGTGTTCTTTTTAATTCTATTACTGAATCTGTGTCAATTCAAATAATTCCATTTCTCAATGAGTCTCATTTTCAAAGGCCAAAACTCCACATTAAAATTAATCAACATGAATCATTACCAACTTTTTAAGGAATAGGTTAATTCTTGTCCTGTTAAAAGTCTTCAACAGCAGGCTGCTCTCTCTATGGAGCACCCTGTGCCTTTCCCCACCCCCTCTCCCTAGGTGCATTTTCCTTGCCTTTTTCTCCTAAGCTCTAAGACTCTTCTTCTACTTCTGTGACTTTCTAAATAAACCTTCTCTTATAAAGAAAAAAAAATTTCAATAGCATAAAAATATGGAAATCACCCAAATTTATTTTACAATCCTGCAGCCACAGCTTTAGACTTCAAGAAACCCATGGCCATGTTCCTGTCTTCACTGCTATCATTAGGGATGGAAGCAAATCAAACCCTCTGTAAATACTGCTGTGAACAATATTTTGCAGAAAGAAAACTTCAGAATGATCTATCTTATAAAACTCATGAAAAAACTTCTTGGATAAATATTAACAACTTGAGTTCAGGGCTTACATGCTCAGGTGCTAGTACAGGAAAAACAGAATTGGGGTGAGATTTGTCTGGGTAGGTCAGAGAAAATGGAAGATGGATAAGAGAGTTTAAGGCTTGTCTAAGAGTGGGATGGAACTGCTATACCATGAAGTCTAAATTGCAGAGAAAGGGAAGTAGAAAGTGGAGGGCAGATGGACAGGGAGAAAGCAAAGCATCTATGAGCCAGTGGCTGTGTTGACAGCACCAGAGTGGAGTCAAGGATGATGTGACCAGGTGGGATGCACTCCATAGGGCAGGGGTCTTTACCAGAAAGTGAAGGGAAATGGTCTAGAAATGCTTTAGGGTAGTGGGGAGGACAGTGACCTTGTCTCCTGACTTGGGGAATAACACAATGATAATTATAATGATGGAATTTTAATAGCTACCATTTCTGGAGGCCTTACTGGGCATCAAGCTGTGAGCTGAATATTTTGTATATCCTGTGTCACTTATCAAAAGCATGAGAAAATAAGCAGATTCTTGAAACTGTAGGAGAGCTGGTGCCTTCAGGGGAGAGCTAGTGACAATTAAGGTGAGGACAGGGGGCGGATGTTCCAAGAGAGGTCTGGAGACATAGGGAAGTTTGTAGATAATGGAAAGTACATGAGGGTAGAGTGTCAGGGTTTGGGAGGAAGGGGGCAGAGTGGGAGGGACCAATCATATATACTGTGCAGTGGAAGAAAAACAAATTTGTGGGCAAGGAGTTATACTGGATCCTATTTAGATAAAAACAAGACAATGAAGAATCAAGTCCTAGATTGTTGACCCAGATAAGAATTCTAGATGCAGGGATGGAAAGAGGGCAGAAGGCAGAGCAGTGCTGCCTAGAGAAACTCTCTCGCCTGGGCCTCCTCCAGGTGCCATCAGAGGCAGAACAAAGAGTAGGGGCTGGAGCCTGAAAAAGACGTCCAGGCCATGAGAACAGCTGGCTTTCTTTCTGTTTCTCTAAAGCAGCGGTTCTCAACCTGTGGGTCGCGACCCCTTTGGGGGTCAAATGACCCTTTCACAGGGGTCGCCTAAGACCATTGGAAAACACATATATAATTACATATTGTTTTTGTGATTAATCACTATGCTTTAATTATGTTCAATTTGTAACAATGAAATTGGGGGTCACCACAACATGAGGAACTGTATTAAAGGGTCGCAGCATTAGGAAGGTTGAGAACCACTGCTCTAGAGAGTTGGCATCACTGATATATATTTTTGGTCTCTCAGAAGGAATAGGCTTCTAGAAGTTTTTAAGCTATTTTATCTTTATATGTCATCAACAAATGTATATTGAGTCTCTACTGTGTACTATGTTAGATGCCATGTAGAAAAATGTAAAAAACAGGGTCCATGCCATCAAGAAACTTAGGGTCTAATTAAGAAGAAAGGCCATGACAAGTCAAAAGTATGAGAAGTTAATGATAAGATACAACAAAGTCATAATTAAGCACATGATATTTGGGAAATAAACAGTATGGATAAACAGGTGTCTGTGTTCAGAGAAGAGAGTAGACTTGAGTGGTATGGGAAGGTTTTAGAGGGATGAGTAGCTTGCACAGGGGTTGGGATAGCATTTAGACAAAACAAGAGGAAAATGCATTTTAGGCCTGAATAAGACATCTGTCAAGTTAGAGACCAGGCAGCAGAGGGCTCGTGTCAGAGTGGCTGTGGAAAGGGACACGAGAGGCAGGCAGCAGGACCAGTGAGGAGGCCTTAGAATGTCAGGATGAAGAGCCAAAAAGGCAAGGCTTGTCCTATGACATTGAGAAGCCAGGAGGCTGAGAGTCTTCACTCTCTGTAAGTTGATTTCTCCTGAGAGAATGGTTCTACAAAACAATTCTATGACTCATTCCAGGATGCTCAGAAACATTCGATAAGAGTCTTTGACTCAGGAACAGACACTCTGCTTTTTAAGGTGAGAGTTTGGTAGTTCTTGGCAATTGCTGTTGTTTTGCAGGTTGAGGTGCAAGGATTTAAAAAACGCATAATCAAAGGAATGCCTGACTTAGATGTGTTTGTTTAAGTATTTTGACCATGTGGTTTTGGAATAGACCTCACAGGAAAAAGAGCAGTTTGTGAAGCCTGGACTGCACTGATCCATAAGAAGAACCTGAACAGGGCACATGTTGAATGCTGAATTGGGGTAGATTGTTTAGATTTCACAGATCTGGTCTTTACCAGTTCTCATGGCTTGGACAGGCAGGCCTAGTGCATCTGGCTTCAAGTTCATTATGAGACCATACAAATATGTTACCCCAACTTGGGACTGATGAAATCTTTCCTCTCATGCATCCAATTTGCATTTATGAACACGTGGCTATGGAGATAAGGAATTGTTATGTGGACACATGTGTGTTAAAAACATCTATGCAGTAATAACTAACACTGGACCTCTTCATGGACTGCACAAATAAAGGCAAACCACTTGACACACAAAGGAAAGTTTGGTATAAATAAATAGAAAGTCCACTTAAGGCATGGACAGCTTAATGTTAAAGGTTAATTACAGCCTACCAGCCGTGGGCAAACTATGGCCCGCGAGCCGAATCCGGCCCGTTTGAAATGAATAAAACTAAAAAAAAAAAAAAAAGACCGTACCCTTTTATGTAATGATGTTTACGTTGAATTTATATCAGTTCACACAAACACTCCATCCATGCTTTTGTTCCAGCCCTCCGGTCCAGTTTAAGAACCCATTGTGGCCCTCGAGTCAAAAAGCTTGCCCACCCCTAGCCTAGCCAGTGTGGCTCATGGTTGAGCATCGGCCTATGAACCAGGAAATCATGATTTGATTCCCAGTTAGGGCTCAAACCCAGGCTGCAGGCTCAATCCCCAGTAGGGGACATGCTGGAGGCAGCCAATGGCTAATTCTCTATCATCATTGATGTTTCTGTCTCTCTCTCTCCATCTCCCTTCCACTCTGAAATCAATAAAAGTATATTTTTAAAAAAGTTAATTATAGGAAAAAGAATGTACATAAACCCTCCTCTATACTTCTTAAATTTCCTAAAATATTTTACGTTATCACCATATTTCTATATCCATGTTTTGGTCATGACCTTCTTAGTATGTTGAAGTCTAAAGAATGGTGAAAAATATTCATCTAGAGCAAAAGTCTTAAAATCCCACCCTTACTTCTATATATTATCAGGACGTTTAGATCATCTCTTTGTTCTTCTATTACTTATAGCAATGTATAAATCAATGTATATTTTAATTCATTCTGATACCACCAATAATCAGATGGGAAAGAATATATGTGTAAAATTGGGGAAAATAATTTGTAGAGATGGGAAAGTGGGTAAGTACATGATCAAAGTTGCTTACATAGTCTTTTCTCCCCCTACAGATGAAATAAAAGTACATCTTAGCTTTTATTTGAAAAATTTTTTCAAAAAAAAAAAGATTTGGGAAAAATGGCGGCGGTATAAACGGACGTGTCCTGTGCCTTGTCCTGGAGCAGATAAGGGTGAGCAGCTGAAACGGGTAACATGCAGCCCGAATAGGCAGAGGATTTTCAGCTGAGAGACTGTCTGCAGCTAGGAAAGACCGAGAACCCCCAGGAAAAAAAAGGATGGTTGGAGACTGCGGCTGAAGCCTCTCGTGGTGCGCCAGCTAAGCAGTGGAGACTGCGCCATCTTGGGTGGTTGTTGCCGGCATCCAGAGACCAGCTACTACCCTGGAAACAAGGGATCTCAAGCAGCGTCACTGCCTGAACTCAGACGAGCACTGCTTCTTCTCACGGAAAGGTTGGACATCCCCTAAAGGTGCGGTTTGAAGTTCGGGTTGGAGGGAGGACCGAGCTCGCACGCGCGCGGGGCGGAATCTGCGCCCCACAGAGTCTGCAGCCCTTGGGACCAGCGTGACCCGCGAGTGGGGAAGGGGCCCCACAGGGCTGCTGGCAGAAGGGAACGCAAAAAATGAGCCCATAGCTGGACTGGATGTAAGGGAGCAGCCTTGGACTTTGCCAATCTGCTGGCTGCTTGGTGCCAGGGGCGAGTGAGCGCGCGGAGACTGCACGCGCGGAGACTGCGCGCGGAGACTGTGCACAGACCTGGAAGGTGGAGGCTTGCGAATTCGCACAACTATCAGGCTCTTGTTACAGTTCCCCTTAGATCCGTGCATTTGATTATTAAACCCAGTGCATGGGATTCCCCAGTTGGGGTCATTCACAGAGCCTGTAGGGGAAAGTTCTTTTTGGGGAGCCTGGGAAACAGCAGGCAGTGGCAAGGAACCAGCTCTGGGCAGTGGTCTTTCCTGAATCAGTTCCCAATACCATAGAGGAAAAAAAAAAAACAAAAACAAAAAAAAAACCCTACTGATAGAGAGGACTTACAGCCTCGGAGGTCAATCCAGACACACTGCCACCCAGAGGCAGAGCCACGAACTGTCTCTTCTGCGATCACAAATAAAGGCAGTCTGGTAAACAAATACAAGCTGCCTTAAAATCAGGTCTGTGGTTTACCGCACGGAGGGACAGTGTATCGCAGGGAAGTTCAACACTCCCCTGAATGCCTGGCAGGACTGAGGCGTGCCAAAAAGAAGAGTGGAAGATCTGAAGCACCTTCACTTCCGAATATTTTTATATATATATATATTTTTTTTAAATTCTTTTTTCACCATTTCATTAAGAACCTATTTTATTTTATTTTATTTTTTATTTTTTATTTTTTTCATCACTTGATTTTACCTTTTTAATTACTACATTGTTTTAACCAGTATTATTGCTATCCTTTTACCATTTTTTCAAGTGTCATTTTATTTTTTATTATTTTTTTAATTTTTCTTTATTTTATTTTGGGATTAGTGTTATACACACTATTTTCATCGTTCCTTTAGCATCATTTCTCTCTAGCTCACATTTACCCTTAAGCCAAAACTCTCTTCCTCACTTTTCCCCTTTTGTTGTCCTGTTTCTCTTACCCTATTCCTGCTTTGGATTTTACCTATTCCTTCTTTCTAACCACTGTCTAAATTTCACTCTACTTATATATCTAATTTCCAATCCCTCGCTCTCCCCATACAAATAGCCTCTTCCCCACCTCTATTTCATTCTCTAACTTTTTTTTTTTTTTGTATTTTTTTTTTCTTCTCTCCCTTTTCCCAATCTCATTTCGGCACTCCTTTTTGTTTTTTATTTTTCTCTTTAATCTTTTTCTCTTTTTTCTTCTATATCCCCTAATTCTCTTCGCTCGGGGGGTCACCTTTATTTGGGGTTATTAATATCGTGAATGCATTTAGTTTGTTGCCTTGTACGTTGTGCCTTGTTGTGTTGTATTTTGTGCCTTTGAATCAGCGCAGCAGAGAGAGAACTACATAACCAAACACCTTGAGAAGAGAAATCATGGTGAAACAAAGAACCAACCCAAATATGAGAGAAAAACAGGCATCATCAGAAAAGGAAGTAAATGAAATGGAGGCAATGGAGGCAAGCAACCTGTCAGAGAAAGAATTCAGAGTAATGGTCATAAGGTGGATGAAAAAAATGGAAGACCAATTCAACAATATGTGTAGGAACCAAGAGGAAATGAAGAAGAACCAAGAGGAAATGAAGAGAAACCAAGAAGAAATGAAAAACGACATCACTGCCATAAAGAACTCAATAGAAAGCATCAACAGTAGACTAGAAGAAGCAGAGGACCGCATCAGCGAGCTAGAAGACAAGGTAGAAAAAAATACCCAAACAGAACAGCTTCTAGAAAAAAAAATTAAAAAGCAGGAGGAGAGCCTAAGAGAACTCTGGAACAATGCTAAACGAAACAACATCCTAATAATAGGGGTGCCAGAAGGAGAGGAAACTGAGCAAGGAATAGAAAACCTGTTTGAAAAAATAGTAACAGAAAATTTCCCGGATATAGGGAGGAAAAAACTCACACAAATCCAAGAAGCTCACAGAGTCCCAAACAAAATGAACCCAAAAAGACCGACACCAAGGCACATAATAATTAAATTGGCAAACACCAACGACAAAGCAAGAATCTTAAAAGCAGCCAGAGAGAGACAGAAAGTTACCTACAAAGGATCCCCCATCAGACTAGCGACCGATTTCTCAACAGAAACACATCAGGCAAGAAGGGAATGGAATGAAATATACAAAGTCATGCAAAGGAAGGGTCTGAATCCAAGAATACTATACCCAGCGAGGCTATCAATCAAAATTGAGGGTCAAATCAGGAGCTTCACAGACAAAAACGGTCTACGGGAGTTTATTACAACCAAACCAGCAATGCAAGAAATGCTACAGGGTCTGCTGTAAATAGAAAAAACAGGAAACAAAGAAGGAACGCAGCGGTAAAGAACAAAAATGGCGACTAACAAGTTTCTATCAATAATAACTTTAAATGTAAATGGATTAAATTCCCCAGTCAAAAGGCATAGGGTAAATGAGTGGATAAGAAAACATGACCCATATATCTGCTGTCTACAGGAAACCCACCTCACAAAAAAAGACGCATACAGACTGATGGTGAAGGGATGGAAAAAGGTTTTTCAGGCCAATGGAAGTGAAAAAAAAGCCGGGGTAGCAATATTTATATCTGACAAATTAGATCTCAAAGTGAAGGACATAAAAAGAGATCAAGAAGGCCACTTCATAATACTAAAGGGAGCAGTCCAACAAGAAGAAATAACTCTGGTAAATATATATGCACCCAATATAGGAGCACCCAAATACGTAAGAAATCTTCTGGAGAAGATCAAGGGAGAGATTGACAGCAATACAATCATAGTAGGGGATCTTAACACCCCATTATCTCCACTGGACAAATCCTCTAAACAGAAACTCAGCAAAGAAACATCAATCCTAAATGACTCACTAGATCAGATGGAATTAATTGACATCTTCAGAACATTTCACCCCAAAGTCACAGAATATACATTCTCCTCGGGTGCACATTTGTCATCTTCAAAGATAGACCATATATTGGGTCACAGACAAAGTCTCTTCAAATTCAAGAAAATTGAAATCATATCAAGTATCTTCTCAGATCACAAAGGCATAAAACTGGAAATCAACTACAACAAAAACAATCCAAAAAAATCAAACACATGGAGACTAAATAGCATGCTATTAAACAACGACTGGGTCACCAGTGAGATCAAAGAAGAAATAAAAAACATCATGGCAACAAATGACAATGAAAACACAACAATCCAAAACCTATGGGACACAGCAAAAGCAGTCTTGAGAGGGAAGTTCATAGCTCTACAAGCCTACTGCAAGAAACAAGA